TTTTCCTCGTTCCGTCCCGGTTGAGGCAGCCCCGCGTCCCTACGCCGCCCCTCCCTCCCTCCCTCCCTCCCCATTCCTCCCCCTCCTACAAGAACATGATCGTCATCGACGACTTTTCCGAATGGTGGCCATCCACGATTGTCTTCCGGATTCACGCAGTGGCGCCTCCTCGCTGACTTGTTCCGAGTTTGGGGCCACGGTCCCCTGCGCAGGCCGGCAGCGGCCCGTCTCCCAGGGGGCGTCTCCGACCATCACCGTGGGTATTTAGGCTGCAGCTCCTGGGATGTTTAATTTCAGCACCGGCGCTGGCATATTCTGGTATCGACTATACGTAAGAGTGACCTTTCGCCGGAGTGACCTTTGGTGCGAGCCCAAGGGGGTCCCCCGATCGCCGAGCGCGATGCGGTATCAGCGTCTTGCGCGCAAAGGCCGCGCACCAAAGGTCACTCTTAGCCAGGGTCACTCTTGCATGCAGCCGATCGTACATCCGCAGTCGGAACCCCGCGGAGTCCAGAGGAATCCCGCTTGGTCCGACTGAATCCGGCTTGCGCCCTCGCCATATCGGGCCTTATTTGACGCAATGCCTCCTGCATCCAACCTAACCTAATAGCTCAAAAGCGTTCTTGCGAAGACGTTCGAGAAGCTGCTTCCTAAGATGAATTTGCATCCCAGCCCCCGCCTTCATCCTTCATCCCCATCCCCCCTTGTCTCACAGGATCGACATGGTTCTCGCGCGATAGCATCGACATACACATACACACACAGACATATACAGAAACGTGTATAGTTACTTGCAGTGCATATACATCTGTATGATGCATGTAATCAGTATGTAGATGCGTATACCGGTAGAGGCCACAGCTATGTATACACACATATATATATATGTATATATATATATAGAGAGAGAGAGAGAGAGAGAGAGAGAGAGAGAGAGAGAGAGAGAGAGAGGCCCGGAGGATGTTCCGCATTGGTGGCTCGCTCGCTCGCTCGCTTCCCCCTCGCCTTCCTCCTCTTGGCGGCGAGCCCGGGGGGAAGTGAGAGGGAGCAGGCCTCCTCAGAAGGCGGCGGGGCTCGTCAGAAGCCCTCTGGCCTTCTGGGAGAAGCCGCCTCTGTCTGGAGAAGGCTCAGACAACTTTTTCAGAAGGCCAGAGGCTTATGGAGGACGATCAATGGAGAGGAAGCATTTTGCCAAATAATGTCCAGATGTCTAGAAAATGTGTTAGAACTGTTCTTAACATGTAAAAAACATGCTTCCAACATTTCCAGGACATTTTTCCGACATTTTAAACACATTCATAATTCGATGATTGGACTGTTAGGGTGTCCATTGTCGTGGCATCCGGAACCAGAGGCCTTCCGAGCCTGTCTGATAAGGCCCGCCCCCTCTGACCTCCCCCTGGGCTCGCCTCCGATCCTCGCCGTACCGAGCGCGTTCCACTGCTCGCGGAGTGCGTGCTCGCAAACGTCCAGTGGAACCTGCTTGCCTGGATACAATGGAGCTTGTTTGCCACGATGCAACGGATCCAGCCCTTTTGCGAGTATCTTCTTTGCGAGCAGTGGAGTGCGCTTGTCCATCGCCCTCGGCTATTCGCTTCCGCTGCTCCGGGCGCGTGGGCCGCCCCGCCGCGCTGGGCAGTTGCTCGGGAGGGGTTCCAGCCGGCCCCTGCGGCTCCAGGTTGCCTTGGAGAAGAGGCTGGTGGAGCTTGACGGCAAGATCCAGGACGCGCCCCGGGCGAGGATGGGAGGATGAGGAAGATGTGGATGAGGAGGAAAAGGAGGAGGAAGAGCAGGAGGAGGAGGAGGAGGAGAAGGAGAAGGAAGGGGAGGAGGAGGAGGACGCGCCCCTGGCGAGGTTTCGGAGGAGGAGGCGGAGGAGGCGGAGGAGGCGGAGGAGGAGGCGGAGGAGGAGGAGGAGGGAAGAGGAGGAGGAGGAGGAGGAGGAGGAGGAGGAGGAGGAGGAGGAGGAGGAGGAGGAGGAGGAGGAGGAGGAGGAGGAGGAGGAGGAGGAGGGAGGAGGAGGAGGAGGTACCGATGCACCCCCACCCTTCGGGCGTTTTCACCTGCGTGGGCCTCGGGGGAAGCATGGAGTGATTTGGGGCGGTGGCGGTGGTGGTGGTGGTGGTGCTGGGGAGGATGAGGATTATGATGATGACGGTGATGGATGATGTTGATGCTGATGTTGCTATTGATGTTGGTGCTGGTGGTAATACTGCTCTGCTGCTGATGCTTATGATGCTGATGACGACGATGCTGCTGCTGATAATGATGCTGATGCTTATGATGGTGATGATGAGTGTGAAGATGAACAATACGATGAAGATGACGATGAGACTATGAACATGCAGATGAAACTGAATACGATGATGACGATGAGGCTGATGATGATGACGATGCTGATTATGATGATGATGATGACACTGAGGATACCAGTGTTGGTGACGATGCTGCTGATGATGATGATGAGGATGATGACGACGGCGATGACGATGACGATGACAACGACTAAGATGACGACGACGATGATGATGCTGCTGCTGATGTTGATGAGGATGACGATCGTGATAATGATGATGATGAGGACGATGATGGTGATGGTGATGAGTATGCTGATGATGATGTTGATGCTGTTGGTGATGATGCTGATGATGATGATGATGATGCGTTTGCTGCTGCTGATGATGATGAGGATTATGCTAATGACGGTGATGATGATGATTATGATGCTGATGATGATGATTTTGGAAGTGGTGGTGGTGGTGGTGATGATGCTGATGATTATGATGATGATAATGATGATGATTATGATGATGATGATGCTGCTGCTGATGATGATGATGATGATGCTGATGATGATGATGAGGAGGAGGAGGATGATGATGATGATGATGATGATGATGATGATGATGATGACGATGACGATGACGATGATGATGATGATGATGATGATGATGATGATGATGATGATGGATGATGATGATGTGATGTTATGATGATGATGATGATGAGATATGAATGATGAGATTGATGATGATGATGATGATGATGAGGAGGAGGAGGAGGAGGAGGAGGAGGAGGAGGAATAATTGGAGGAGTAGGGGGGTGAGGAATTGGCGGAGCATCACCCATCCGTGCTGCTGCTGCTGCTGCTGCTGCTGCTGCTGCTGCTGCTCTTCCGCCTTCAGCTGCTGCCCCTCCGGCCCCTTCTGCTCCCGTCCCTCCCGTTGCTCCTCCTTCTCGCCCTCCTCCTGTCTCTTACCCTCTTCCGCCTTCTCTTGATCGGATCGTGCTGTGGGGCTGGCTTCTTATGCCGAGCTGCTCTCCGGCGGCTCTGGGACCCAGCCGTGGAGGGCCCCCAGGGGCCGAAAGACTGCCAGAGACCGCCCGCCGTGATCTGTCCACGGCGCGAGCGTGCACCCTGGAGCCGGAGGATGCTAAGTCCAGGCAGAGTAAATCCGTAAATCCGTACGGATCGCTCGGTATCCGTCTGGGCCTCCTCGGTCTGGACTTAGCCTCTCCCAATCGGATGCTGGGCCCATGCGGAGTAAGTCCGCACGGAGTGCTCGGCCTCCGTCTGGGCTTGCTCCGTCTGGGCTCCGCCCCCCCCCGCCAGAGCTCGAGCCTCGCGCCTCCGCGGGAGGACACGCAGGACCACAAGGACGCCAAGGCGGGCGACCTCTCCGCCCAGGAGCCTCGGCCGGCCCCCCCACCCGCTGCCGCTCCTCCTGCGCGGGTCTGCACGCCTTGCGGAGTGCCCCGGCCCGTGGGGGGGCGGGCGGGGGGGGGCGCGCGGGGCCTCGGGGGCCGCAGGGGCCGCGCGGGCGGTGTCGGCGTGTTGCTGCACTCCGAGGGGCAGGGAGCGACGAGGAGAGAGCGTGTGCCCCCAGAGGTCCAGGGTTCCCATACGAGGCGGGAGTTTATCCATGACCACCGCCTGGAGGGTCAGTTTTCGGAGCCTCGGCATGCGGTGGATATGGACATATTCGGGCCCCTGGGGGCCGAAACATGTCCATATCCGCCGCCCGCTGGGGCACCAGGACTTCGGCTCCCAGGCGGTGGATATGGATAATGAATCCCTGCCTCGCATCCCAGGATTTCCTGAAGGTATGTCCAAGATGCCAGGGATCTCCAGGAGTTGCAAGGCGTCCAAGATCTCCTCGGTGTCCAGGATTTCCCGGGCTTCGGGTTCAATCAGGGGGGCAGGGACGCGCGCCTTCGTCCAGGTTACCCTTGCGTCCTGGCCTCTGCGGCCCGTCCTTTGCCGTTTTCAATGGTCGCCGGCCGCCCAACAAATCCCAACTTCGGCCTCCAAGGGTGTGTGCGTCCTTGCCACCCGTCCTTAGCACACGCTTTGACTGTATGGCATCGTTTCAGCCCCCGCGGCAGCCCCCATCGTGCCCCACGCCCGGCCCTGCCCCCGCTCCATCGGGGGACGAGCAGACGAAGGTGCCGATGCAGCTGCTCGTCCTGGAGTCGAATAGTGGACCGACTCCAGACTTGATTTGCCCACAAATCGCTTTTGTCCCGTGAAATTTCGGGACACATATCCGTAAGGGCTTCGCCCCCTGCCGCCGGCCCCCTCTCTCGGAAAATCGGCTATGCGAGAGCTAAATCATGAGGCCTCGGCGCCGCCGTGAAGCAGCATCGGCAAGAGAACTTGAGATTCTGATGATGTTGTTGAACCCAGTGTTGCATTTAGAAAGATGATGCTACGCGAATATAGCATACTTTGCGAGGGTGTATGGCTTCGGGGTCGCAGATATGACGTAATTTGCAAGGGTTTATGGCTGCGGGGTCGCACATATAGTGTAATTTTCATAGGTTTATGGCTTCGGAGACGCACATCTGGTGTACTTTACAAAGGTTTATGGCTTCGGATACGCACAAAGAGCGTACTGTGCAAGGGTTTATTGCTTCGGGGACGCGAATACTCAATAGTTTTCATTTGTTAATTGCGTCGGGAACGCAACTGTTGCATGGGGTTTCATGGCTTCCGAAGCGCGACTCCAGCGTAATTTACCAAGGTTTCTATTTTTGGGGACGCGAGTATTGCATTTTTTACTAGCGTTTGTGGCCTCGGGGACGCAAGCATGGTGTAATTTGCTAATATTTATGGCTTCGGGGACACGAACATGGCATATTCTGCGAGGGTTTATGGCTTCGGGGACGCGAATATAGCGTAATTCACAAGGGATTATGGCCTCGGGGACGCGGACATCGCGTAATTTACGAAGGTTTGTGGCCTCGGGGCGCGAGTCACATATATATATATATATATATATATATATATATATATATATATTACGTGTCCCACGCCCCCCCGCAGAAATTCTTTACGCTTCGCGTATCCCCACCAGCCCATCTCACAACAGCAACTCTTGCGAAGCGTGCCGACAGTTGTGTTGTTCAGGCGTGTGTCCGCTTGGCCCCGCATATCTCTCCTGTTCCTCCTTCTTCCCGCCTCCTTGTACATCCTCCTTGTGGGGGCAGCGGGAGAAGGACGACGCGGAAGAGGAGGGAGAGAAAGCGGTGGGAGGCAAGAGGGACTCAGCGGAGAGGACGATCTCAGCGATGATCTGAACAACGTCGACGCACCCGACGACGACGACGATGTCGACCGCAACGACGACGACCACAACCGCGACGACGACGACGACGACGACGACCGCGACGTCGACGACGACGACGACGAAGGCGGCGGTGCGGGCCCTCGTTGTGTGAGTCCTTCGGCCCCGTCGTCCTTGTGTGAGTCTTTCGGGACCCTATTCCTGGTGTGAGTCGCTCGGTATCCTCGTCGTGTGAGTCGTTCGGGCCCCTCCTCCTGGTGTGAGTCGTTCGGGCTCCTCGTGTTGTGAGTCGTTCGGGCTGCTCGTGGTGTGAGTCGTTCGGGCGCGTCGCCCTGGTGTGAGTCGTTCGGGCCCCTCGTCCTGGTGTGAGTCGTTCGGCGAGGGGCCCGAACGACTCACACAAGGAAGAGCCCGAACGATTCACACCAGGGCGAGGGGCCCCAACGACGCACACCACATGCATTCTGGTCCAGGACGTCGCCGTCGTGTGAGTTGACAGAGCCGGTTACGTGTAGGACTGGTGAACGGCCGCCTTCTGTCTTGCCTCCCATCGCCTTCTCTCCCTCCTCCTCTTCCTCCTCTTCGGCTCCTAGTCGTAGTAGTAGACGTTGTACCCGTAGGATCAGTTGTAGTACTGGTAGTGGTAGTAGCAGTAGTAGTAGTAGTAGTAGTAGTAGTAGTAGTAGTAGTAGTAGTAGTAGTAGTAGTAGTAGTAGTGACGATGTAGTAGTAGTAGTAGTAGTCGTAGTAGTAGTAGTAGTAGTAGTAGTAGTAGTAGTAGTAGTAGTAGTAGTAGTAGTAGCAGGAGTTGTAGTAGTAGTAGTAGTAGTAGTAGTAGTAGTAGTCGTAGTAGTAGTAGTAGGTAGTAGTTAGTAGTAGTCGTAGTAGTAGTAGTAGTAGTAGTAGTAGTAGTAGTAGAAGTAGTGCAGTAGTAGTAGTAGTAGTAGTTACTGGTAGTAGTAGTAGTAGTGACAGTAGTAGCAGTAGTCGTTCGGCGAGGGGCCCAAACGACTCACACAAGGAAGGGCCCGAACGACTCACACCAGGGCGAGGGGGCCCAACGACGCACACCACCTGCATTCTGGTCCAGGACGTCGCCGTCGTGTGAGTCGACAGAGTCGGTTACGTGTAGGATTCGCGGACGACCGCCTTTTGTCTTGCCTGCCATCGCCTTCTCTCCCTCCTCCTCTTCCTCCTCTTCGGCTCCGAGTCGTAGTAGTAGAAGTAGTACCAGTAGGATCAGTTGTAGTACTGGTAGTGGTAGTAGCAGTAGTAGTAGTAGTAGTAGTAGTAGTAGTGCTAGTAGTAGTGACAGTAGTAGCAGTAGTAGTAGTAGTAGTAGTAGTAGTAGTAGTAGTATTATGAGTAATAGTACTAAAGGTAGTAGTAGTAGTAGTAGTAGTAGTAGTAGTAGTAGTAGTAGTAGTAGTAGTAGTAGTAGGTAGTAGTAGTGGTAGAAGTAGTAGTACTAGTGGTAGTAGGAGTAGTAGTAGTAGTAGTAGTAGTAGTAGTAGTAGTAGTAGTAGTAGTCGTAGTGGTAGTAGTAGTAGTAGTAGTGTTATTTCCAGTATCAGCGGTAGTAGCAAACGTAGTCGTCAACGTCGTCGTCGCACTAGTTGCCTCAGTAACAGAGGCAGTCACTAGAGCAGTGGTCTGTATGGAAGTTGCGGTAGTAGAAATAAGTATTGGTAGTGGTAGTAGTAGTAGTAGTAGTAGTAGTAGTAGTAGTAGTAGTAGTAGTAGTAGTAGTAGGAGTAGGAGTAGTAGTACTAGTAGTAGTAGTAGTAGTATTAGTAGTAGTGGCAGTAGTAGCAGTAGTAGTAGTAGTAGTAGTAGTAGTAGTAGTAGTAGTAGTAGTAGTAGTAGTAGTAGTAGTAGTAGTAGTAGTAGTAGTAGTAGTTATAGTAGTAGTAGTAGTAGTAGTAGTAGTAGTAGTAGTAGTAGTAGTAGTAGTAGTAGTAGTAGTAGTAGTAGTAGTAGTAGTAGTAGTAGTAGTAGTAGTGGTAGTAGTAGTAGTAGTAGTAGTAGTAGTACTAACAGTAGTAGTAGTAGAAGTAGTAGTACCAGTAGTAGTAGTAGTAGTAGCAGTAGTCGTCGTAGTGGTAGTGGTAGTGTAGTAGTAGTAGTAAAAGTAGTAGTAGTAGTAGCAGTAGTAGTAGTAGTAGTAGTAGTAGTAGTAGTAGTAGTAGTAGTAGTAGTAGTACTCGTCGTGGTGGTAGTAGTAGTAGTAGCAGTGGTATTTCCAGTATGTAGTGCAACGAGTATGAGTAGTAGTAGAAGTACAAGTAGTAGTAATCGTAGGGGAAAAGGGTAGTAGTAGATGTCTTTTGGAAGCTGCTCGGAGGCCTCTTGGGGCGTCTTCGGCGCCTCTTGGCGCATCTTGGGGACCTCTTGGGGGTATCTGTGGGACCTCCTGGAGGCGTCGTGGTGCCTCCTGGGGATCTCTTGTGGCCCATCTGGGGACCTCTTGGGGCCATATGGTGGACCTCTGGGGGCCCTCTTGGGGGGCTTGTCTGGGCGCTGCCCCTCCTCCTGGTGTGACTCGTTCGGGCTCCTCGTGGTGTGAGTCGTTCGAGGCGCGCGTCGTGGTGTGAGTCGCTCGGGCTCCTCGTGGTGTGAATGGGTCGCGCGCCTCGTCCTGGTAGGAGTCGTTCGGGGTCCTCCTTCTGGCGTGAGTCGTTCGGGTTCTTCGTGGTATGAGTCGTTCGGGCCCCTCGTCCTGGTGTGAGTCGTTCGGACTCCTCGTGGGGCCTCTTGGCGGCCTCTTGGAGCCTCTTGGGGCCTCTTGGGGGCCTCTTGGGGGCCTCTTGGGGGCCTCTTGGGGGCCTCCTGGGGCCTCTGGGGGCCTCTTGGGGGCTTCCCGGGGGCCTCTTGGGAGCCTCTTGGGGCCTCTTGGGGGCCTCTTGGGGGCCTCTTGGAGGCCTCTGGGGAGGCTCCTGGGGGCCTCTTGGGGCCATCTTGGGGCTTCTTGCGACCTCTTCAGAAGCGCAAAGAAGCGCTGCCCCCTGAAAAGGACAAAATGAGCCCAAAACCCTCGTAAAATCAATGATTTTGCTATGAAGGAAGATGAGCGCGGCCCCCTCGGGAGGCCAAAATGGAGCCAAAACCCTCGTAAAAGCACGGATTTTGGCTTCACAGAAGAGGAGGGGGCTACAAGAGGGTCCCCCCGTCGGAGCCAAAATCCTCGTGAGGGTCGTCGTTTTTTGGCCCTCCCAGGCGTCGAAAAAGACCACCCTGACCACCCGCGGGGCTCCCTCTCCAGGCCCAGGGGGAGGGGGTAGGGGAAGGGGTGAACCCCTCCCCGAAGGGGAAGAAGGGGGGTTGGGGGGTTGAGAACAGAGAGAGCTCGCTAAACCACTCACGCCCAAAGGGCTGGTGGGATTCTGAGCACACGATTTGGGCGTGGTAGAAACCGCGGTTTGCGGCTCCCCCCCCCCCTGCGCGGTCCATCAACAAGGAACAGTAAGCAGCAATAAGCATAATTGTAACAGTGGAAAGTGGAAGCTGGAACTGGTGCAGGGAACAGCAAACCCTGGCCCCACAGCCTGGTGGCGCCACAAGGGGGCCGGCGGATTATATTGCTTAGCGCATCCTACGGTTTCTGTAGATTCAACGGAAAACAATTTTAGGGTAGATCGATTATGTAGTCGATCTCCTATTCGGTGGAGATCCCTCGTGGCCACGGCTGGATTCTCAAGGGAATCCCGTCCAGAACGCACCCGGGAGGCCCAGGGAGTGCGGCAGATTCGTGCCGTGTCGATGACGGGGGCCCCCGCCACGGGCGTTCAGGGTTCAACGCCGCCTGGCCCAGAGTCGTCCACCACGGCACGACCTCTGGCGATCGAAGGGCCGCCGATGGTTCCAGGTGGAATCAGAGCGTGCATTACCTGCCCCGCTTTCGCTTTCAGGCAAAACCATGTCATACCACGCGCCTCCCCGCCGAGCGGCCTGACCAGTGCGGGCCGTAGTTTGGCATCGCCTGGCAGCTCTTGGAGGCGAAGGGTGGTCGAGAGCGAGGCAGGCTCGTCTGCCCGCGCCGTGTGGGAAGCCCGCGCGCTGGTCGTCCCGACGCGGGCCCGCCGTGGCGGGAGTCGGCTGCCGCTCTTGGCCGCCCGGTCCCTGCGCCCGTGCTCCCGCCTCCCGAGCTCGCGGGCCCTCGCGTCTCCCCCCCTGCCAGGCCCCCCCCTCCCCTCCCCGTGGGCTGCCCCTGCCCTGCTGCCCCCTCGGGGAGGCCTGCTGCGCGAGGTTTTTTGTTTTTTTTGAATGTCCCGACGGTGCGCCCCAAAGCGTCCCAGACAGCAGCGGGCAACCCGTGTGCATAACGAGGCACAGCTGCATTGCGTTGCAATGCGCGTGCGCCGTATTTGGTCCTTGCCTGCGCGTCCGCGACCTGATGCAGGGCCACAGTCAGGGTCAGCCAGAGGAGAGGTGGTCTGGGGCGCCCGTGCTCTCAGGAGGACCCCGGGGGGGGGGACGGGCCCCGCGTGGGCCCAGGACGGGCGGAGCGTGTGAGCAGCATGATCCCACCACGAGCCCAGGATCGCGGCATGGTGCTGCCAGCGTGGGACCAGCACGAGTCCAGAACAGCCGCATGAAGGGCCCAACACGAACCCAGGTCGCACGCATGAGGCAGTAACAGTTCTATCATGGCTACTGTCTCGGCCACAGCTTGCTTCTGTCGTGCTCAGTGGCTCGAGTCGGCTGGTTGACTTCTTGCACCGTTCGCTGTGAGTGCTGAACGCCATGCAAGCACGCTGGTTATCTTGCTCTGTCCTTGCGTGCCAGCCCCACCAGGAAAGAGCACAGCAGCGGCTAGCGATGCCAATCACAGCCGCAGAAGACAACGGCGCAGGCAACATGACGGAAGAAACTGTTCAGGGTCGCGGGCAGATGTTGCTTTACATCACATGCACGGAGCGGAATTGCCGGCTCTTCGCGGCCAAAGGCCAAATTTAGCAAGCACATCTTACTCGATTGTCCCAAACGGGGTTGTCAAGGATTGCAGCTACAGGTCTGTCAAGCAGTACACTTCAGGAAGGGAGCTTTATCAGGTCTCCGCCAACAGCAACATCCAGTACTGCAATGCATGTGCAGCGATAGATGTGTGGTGGGCTGCGATCTTCCTCACTGTAGCAAAACCACTCAGGTGGAATATGCCCGCAGTCTTGAGATGATTTCGGCTTCCATATCTCGCAAGCCTCGGCTTCAAGGAACCGCTCAGCGTTTTAACGCTTGGAGGTCACTTCCGTGAGCGCTTCACCGACCATTCAAAGTTTGACCAGTTCATGGGCTATAGTGTAACACTCTTCAATCTTCTCTTCACGAGGCACCGCAGGGGTATCAGCTCTGCAGCCGCCCGCGGGCATGCGCCCCCGACGGCGGAACAGTCTACTTTCCACCTCGGGACGATCGACATGATACCCGCCTCGACCTTATACCTGCTGTCCGGCATTGTGCATCTCTCTTTTCCGTACCCTCTCGGGCGTCCAGAATACAGTTCCTCGCCCCCCCACGAATGGTCCATCTGTTGATCGGCACTGCCGCCCCCATCCTTTGGCTCCGCTCCCGCCGCTCTGGGGGATGCGCCCGCAGCTGGCCGCCGGCGCATGCGGGCGCGCGCCGCGCCCGTGGGGCGGCGCGCTCGGGGGCCCGGCGGCGGGGCGGAGGGATGTCGGCTGCCAAGGTCGCGGGGGGCGTGGCCGCGGCGGTGGGCCTCGTCGGCTTCCACTACGTCATCCTCACGGAGCGTGAGCGCCAGGACTCTTCCTCCTCGTTCTCCTCCTCCTCCTCCTCCTCCTCCTCCTCCTCTTCCTCCTCGGGTCGGGCGCAGCCCAGCTAAAACTGGCGCCACCTTGCTGTTAAGGAGGCCACGTAAGAGCCACAGGATGGGCACCAACTCGCCACTGTACAGGGGGCCGCAGTGACATCGCCAGGCTGGCGCGAAGAAGCCCGTCTCCAAGTTGTTTTAGTATATTGGAGTGACGCTGGTCGCCGATCCTGGCAGGATCGGCGTCACTCCAACATGCAAATATTAAGCGTGCGTTGCCCCCGCACGGGCGACGCGCGCGCCGAATAATTTTGTAGTATATGCGTCTTGGCGGGCGGTGTCTGGCATGATGGTTATACTATATGTTCGGGCCGGGCGCTCGCCTCCGAGGAGGACACATAGTACTAGTATGTGCTTGTGCGTCCTACAGGAGCTTGGGCTACAAGAAGGTACCGATACCGCTACTCCCTGGACCTCCCCCAGGAATCCAGCCGTGGTAATGAGGGCTCTCCAGGACGAGCAGCGACATCGGTACCTTGTGCCGCCGTTCAGGAGCAGTTTCTGCGCAGCAGGATCCAGGAGCTCCAGGAGGAGGTGGCCGAGCTGCGCGGCAGGCTGCGCGAGCAGGAGAGCGAGCGCTTCTCGAGGGGGCCGCGGCCGGAGCAGCAGCAGCAGCCGCGGCGGCCCTGGGGCGGCGCGCGCGGCTAGGACTCGGCGGGGGGGCGGGCGGGCTCTGCGCTGCGGCACTGCCCTGCGCGCCTCGGCCGCACTCGGTGGCGCCGCGTCGGCCGCCGCGGCGCCTCGGGCCGTGCCGCGAGGGGCAGCTGCTGGCCACCCCGCGCTGCCGCTCCGCAGCCCGCCCCCCGGCGAGGCAAAGACGCCATCCCGCCTTCGTCTGGCCCCCCTCCTCTTCTGCGCTGTGCGCATCGGCCGTCGACGTTCGATCCATGCCCCTGCTGCTGCTGCTCCCCCCCACCCTGGGCGCCGGGTGCAGCAGGGCACGGACACAAAGCGCGGCCTCGGAGGCCATGATGTCATCCATTTCCCCGCTCTTGCCCCTCTCGTGGGGGTCGGGGCGCGCGAGCAGGGGCATGGGGATAAATTGTCGAGCGCCCAGGGTCGCCCTGCTGCCTGCGGCAGGTTCGTGCCGCCACGTTGCCCTCCCCCTCCTCCTCCTCCTCCTTTTCCTCTTCCTCCTCCTCCCCCTCCCCCTCCCCTCCTCCTCCCTTCCACCTCCTCACCTCCTCCCCCCTCCTCTCCCTCCTCCTCCTCCTCCGTCCTCCTTTCCTCCTCCTCCTCCTCCTCCTCCTCCCTCCTTCCTCCTCCTTTTCCTCCTCCTCCGTTTCCTCCTCTCTCCTCCTTTTCCTCCTCCTCCTCCTCCTCCTCCTCCTCCTCCTCCTAGAGAGAGTGTCCAGTGCGCCTGGGGCCCCCCCCAGGAGGGGAGGCCGTTCGCGCTCGAGCGGCTCCCGCGGTGCCAGAAGCCAGGGCCCACGCCGCCAAGGCGGGAGCCTGGCTGGCGCACGGTGGGTTCGTGTCGTGCCGACGCGGCGGCGACCCCAGCGTGGGCGTTCGAGGTGGAGCGCCGGCAGTGGCCCAGAACCGGCCCACATGATATCTATATATATATATGTATATACTTATATATTTATTTATTTATTTATTTGTTTATTTGTTTATTTATGTATTCATTTGTTAATTCATTTATTTTTATATATATATATATATCATGTGGGCCGGTGCTGCTCTCGAGTTCTGCCGCTACAGTGCCTCGCAACTGTTCGTGCCCGTATCCGCGTGTTCTCGTGTGGTGTGGTGATAGCCCCCTTAAGGGGAAGCGGATTCAATGTGGGAGCTGTAACTGGTGGGTGTTTGCGCTGAGGGGGATATATATATATATATATATATATATGTATAGCACCCTGCAATTGCGGATAAGAGTGAGGGGGCGGGCGCGGGCGACGCGGGCGACTTTGGTTGGCTTGTTCAGTGAACGTAGTTTGGGTCGCGGGCGGGTCGCGGGCTCTGCACCTCCACCTGGAAGGAATTCAAAACAGCCCGCCGCAGGCGCCGACAATTTTGATTTGTACACTAGATGCGGTTTGGGACGCAGGTTCTCCACCTGGAACGACTGCAAAAGAAACCCGCCGCAGGCGCCGAAGTTTTGGCTTGTTCAGTGAACGTAGTTTGGGTCGCGGGTGGGTCGCGGGCGCTCTCCACCTCCACTTCGAAAGGATTCAAAAGCAGCCCGCCGCAGGCGCCGAACATTTTGATTTGTACACTGAACGCGGTTTGGGTCGCGGGTGGGTCGCAGGTTCTCCACCTGGAGCGAATGCAAAATAAACCCGCCGCAGGCGCCGAAAATTTTGGGTGGGTCGCGGGGTGCGTCGCGGGTGGGTCGCGGGTGGGTCGCGGGTGGGTCGCGGGGTGGGTCGCGGGTGGGTCGCGGGTGGGTCGCGGGTGGGTCGCGGGGTGGGTCGCGGGGTGGGTCGCGGGGTGGGTCGCGGGTGGGTCGCGGGTGGGTCGCGGGTGGGTCGCGGGGTGGGTCGCGGGTGGGTCGCGGGTGGGGTCGCGGGTGGGTCGCTGGTGGGTCGCGGGGTGGGTCGCGGGTGGGTCGCGGGGCGGGTCGCGGGTGGGACGACGACAACAGACAACCAGCAACAAACAACAAACAACAAACACAAGCAACATATATATATATATATATATATATATATGTTTATTTATGCGTATATGCAGGTGTTTATATATACATATGTGTTTCACTATGTGTATATATATATGTATGGAACGATCTGGCAGTCGAGAAGCGGCTTATCGCTCAAGGTTGAACGCGATCCACACGGTGCTAGCAACCAACGCTCATGTCGTCGCGACACGAATTAGCCGTATCCGCGTGCTCTTCTTGCCCTGGGCGGGCTCCGTAGTGGTCGTCGGCCCGCACGCTGCGCCAGGGACCCCCGCCTCGGTGCCCCTCCGCAGCCGCCGGCTGCAGCTTTTTCGGGCCCACGCGGGCACGCCGCGCGCAAGCCGTTGGTTCAAAGCTGCGATGTTTTCTGGAGCCTCTTCGAATCGAGGTCTCTTTTGCTACGATGCAAGTTCTGGGAGGCTAAGTCCAGCATCGGCGCTGATATAACCGTGGCCTAAATCCAGCCGGATCCGATATAATCCCGTTTCGTCTGGCTGAACCCTGGGGTTCGTATGGGCTAGTCAGGCTCAGCGGCCCTTGCATGGGATAGCCCTTGCCCGTTCTTGCTCAGACCTCCGAGGAGCTGCTCCTTATCGAAGCAGAGACAGCCGCATAAACATAAACTTCCGGAGCTCACGTGAGTTTCGTGGATCGGCGCTGAATCCCCCTTTCCCTGCGTTTCCAGCGCCGCCCCTGGCGCGCGCCGCGCGTCAATGAGGGGGATCCAGCGCCGATCCAAGAAATCCGCGTTGAGTTCCGACAGTTTATGTTTGTGCATTTGTTCATCCTTCGATCCTAACCTTGGGCACGACGACCCACTAGCCACCCCGAATGGACATCCGACGGTCTGTGGCCTACTGTTTTTCTTTCACGCGCTGGATTCCAGGGTATCTCAGCACGCCTCCCTGCCCGTCCGCGTTGTGCGCGCGTGCCCTTCTGGGAAGAGCACCAGTTACAGACCCCCGAAATATAAACAGGGGGGGGGGCGGTGCTAACGAGACCCCCCCCTCCACCCCTTCAAAGAGGTCTGTTCCCCCCCGAGCCGGTTTTGTGATTGATCCACCATCCATCTTCATGCCACGAGAAACTCAGAGAGGCAGGGATAAACAACAAGGAAGTGTCTAGCGATAGTCCGCTCTGGAGAGGATCTGCTCTCTACCCGTGTGAGCGTTGCGCAAGTCCAAGCTCCTGGCCCAAACAGATGCGGAAGTGCTCAGTGAGAGTCCCATTTTGAAATGGAGCCACCCTCCATCTGGGCAGCCGTTGCACGATTTGAGGTTGAAGCTTCGGACCATGGGATCTGAGAAAGCGTAGGGCGACGGGATGTATTACCAGCTCTGAGCAGATCCGTATTCTTATGCTTGGCATCACCTTACCTCAGTGCCGATCTTAAGGATTCCCTCGGCTTCTGAGGACACATCCTTACGATAGTCATCGCCTTGGGCTTGCCGATCTTGGTGATAGGGATAAGCTCGAGGCTGGTTGATATACATACATATATATATATATATGCATATGTCTATGTATGTGTATATGTATGTCTGTATGTATGTGTGCATCTCTCTCTATATATCCACTGCCCCAGGCCTGGCCCATCTGTGCTCGGGAGACATGTGCACCGCTCCTGGGCCCAGAATGGACTAGGCCGCCTGGGACAGCAGATGTGCACACATCTCGTGGCCCTGAAGCGAGATCAGCATTTTGATAGACCGGCCGGCCTCCACTCCGGCAGCTGTCGAGTGCGCGGTGCGTTGCGGCGACGGCCGCATTCTGAAAGCCACCGGCCCTCCACTCCTGCAGCGGCTGGAGCACTGCAAGACGAATGCGGTCGGTGCAAGGGCGAGGGCTGCGCTTTGAGAACCGTCAGCCAGCCCTCCGTCCGTGTAACCGTTTGAGTTTTCTGAGCGTCAGGAAGACAGTCTGCAATTTTGCAAGGAAGTCATAAGTGAAACGCTGGGCCAGGCCTACTGCCACGTCTGGTGGTGCGACAGGGGGTGGGGGTATTTTTTTACGTCAGGGGGGTGGAGAAGGAGGAGGAGGAGGAGGAGGAGGAGCAGGAGGGGGAGGGAAGATAGAGAGGGAAATGCGTGCTCGCACGATCGAGATGAGGCGTAGGGATCAATAAGCACAACACGTCGATGTAGCCAAGACCCCCGTGCGTGTTTCCAACAGACAAGTTCCGAGCCGCAACACCGCTGGAAGCCTGCTCCCGGTAGCTGGTTCGTGTGACGAGCAGGATTGTCTAGTCGCTACGCGGGGAAACACAGGGGACCCATTTGAAACCAACCCCCGACGGTAACAGCGAGGCTTCTGGGGTTGCCCACACAAGACTAAGACAAACATCCAAATCAGGGGTCATCATCCCTTTGTGGAGGTGACCGCCGATCTTCGTGTTGGTGCCAACTTCTAGGCCTCCAGACTCTCGACTCTGCGCGTAGATCCGCGATTCAGAAAACTAAGTACCCTTACACTTACACGTGTACTCCCGCTTGCATGTGCATGCGCACTTCTTTTTCATCTACACTTGCACTTAAATTCATCTCCAAAATTGCACACTCACGCACACTCCTGTAGTTTCGAAAGCCCGTCGTCCCAAACAGAACCCACGGACGGCCGCCAGCACATCTTCAGGTCCATTCGGTCTTTGCTGTCAAGTTTCGTCCATGAGCCATCGTGCCCGTCCTCGTCAGCATCACCCACACGCAGCCATCATGCTTCAAGGGTTCGGCATGTAACCCCTTTTACTGCTTGGAGCACGTGGACGTGGATCACAGATCTGCCCCAGCGCATGGAGCACCTCCCTCTTCTGGAGGAAGTCGTGGCCGATGGTGATCTGGACGACTTGTCGCCGGACGTGCTGGCAGAGCGGCTGCACCAGCTCGACCGCGGTCAACTGGACGAGCTTGGCCGCGAACTGTTCCTTGCGCTCAAGCGGTCCGAAGTCAGACTGGAGCAGCTGAGGCGCAGGGCCTCGACGGCACGCAGCGAGCAGTGCGATCCCACGAGCCAGGCAGCGGCCGCC